AGGTGCAGGGTCGGAGGGTTCAGAGGACACGGCAGGAGGTTCCGTGGGGTCACGGGGTGGATGGGTTCCATAGTCCTGGCTCATGCAGGAGCTAGCTGAGGCCCTATGAGTGTCCCATCACATAGGACTGGCCCTAGTTTTTGTGGGTCCTTCTGGCCCTCAGCACACTGGGCATCTCCCCCTGCCAATGCTGTCCTGTCCTGCAATCCTGTTGTGTAGGAATGCTCCCAGCGAGCCAACAATGGGCGCTTCACCCTGCGTGACCTGCTGATGGTGCCCATGCAACGGGTGCTGAAATACCATCTGCTCCTGCAGGTACGGACCCTCGGCTGGAAGCTGGGGGTGGGCACGAAGGACCCTGGTCAAGGGGGCGTGGTCTATGCAGAAGGGTCATGGATTGGGAGTCAGGACACCTGGGTTCTATTTTCAGCTCAGGGAGGGGAGTGGGGTCTTGTTGGCTAAAGGAGGGGGTAGGCTGGGGATCAAGACTCCTGGGTTCTATTCCTGGCTGTGCCATTGGCCTGCTGTGTGACCATGGGCAAGTCCTTTCCCCTCTCTGTGCCTCAGTTTCCCTCTATAAAATAGGCAGAACAATGACCACCGTCGGAAAAAAAAACCCTATAGGTGTTCGGCATGGTATAATCCCCCTCAGTACCAGCTGGGTCTGGCCAGCTCTTCCATTGAAGCCTGGGGTCAGCTTCAGACTAGCAAGTCTGCTCTTCGGTGCAGGAGCCGTCTTTATGCTCTCTTTGTTTGTACAGGACGTAGCACCATGGGGTCCTGGGCCATGACTGGAGCACCTAGGTGCTACCGTAATATACCTAATAAATAACGTACAGCACCCAGCACTATATGGGCTCCTGGCTCTGCCCCATGATGCTTCGCGCTGGGGAACCCTGGCACCCTCTGCTGGAGGAGCCAGAAATGCCTTTGAGTGGGTCAAATCCATCCCGGTTTATTTCCTCTCTCCAGGAGCTGGTGAAACATACGGTGGAGCCGACAGAAAAGGAGAACTTGCGGCTGGCGCTGGATGCCATGCGGGTGAGGCCGGCTCTGCGTCTCCCGGGTGCTGTCAACTTTCGGGACAGTCATGAGGGTCTCTCAGTGTTTCGGTCGCCAGACTTGGGCTGGCACAAAACGCTCCGGGGCCTGGCGGGTGGTTGTGCCCATCAGAGGGACTTATGCTTGGGGCGTGAGGGTAGGAAAGTTCCTGTTTAAGGCTGGGTGGAAGAGGGACTTCCCTCCCCGGCGGAAATTCTGACATTGCGAGTGAGGGGGAGGGGGACGGGAACCATCGTCCTGAGGCTGAAATTTTCCTCAGAATGGAAATTCTGAAAAATATTGATTCCGAAACATCTCAATGACTGGAGGGCTTGTGGAGACGTGGAAATGGACCGAAATAGCTAGTCTAGGATAATTATTTTAAAATGAGTACTAATAATAAAATCTATTCCAGAATAATGATTTTATAACAATAAAATAACTATAGTAATGAAAATAATAATTATAAGTAGCTACTCTGGAATAATTATTAAATAAATGACATTATCGTAATAATTATAAATACCTCTTCTGGAATAATTATAAAATATAATAAATAATTAATAACAAAAGTAATAGTTATTAATAATAATTTCACTATTCCAGAATAGTTCTTTTCGTATAAGTCCCAGTGTGGACACTCTTATTCTGGGAGACAAATGCCTTTTCCAATTTAGCTTAATGAACTTTGGAAGTGGATTTATTCTGGAATAGCTACTTCAGAAAATGTTTAAGTGTAGACACACCATAATATAATATAATATAATAATTAATACAAGGGCACCGGAACAGGGTGGAACAGGGTGTCGTGGCCCCCACACTTTTCACTGGCTGTAAGGGCAAGTGATGGGAGGGGGCGGAGAGGAGCGAGTGGGGGGCAGGGTCATTGGGGGAAGAGGCGGTGCGGAAGCGGGGGCTCTGGGGAAGAGGCGTGATGGGGGCTGGGGGAGAAGGGGCAGTGTGGGGGCAGGGCTTTGGGGGGTGAGACCTTATTAGAGTCAAAATCCAGTGACTTAGACTTTTGAATGAGGCGTGTTACAAGTAGACTAGCGCAGCGGTTCTCAACCTTTTTCTTTCTGAGCCCCCCCTCAACATGCTAGAAAAACTCCGGGGCCCAGCCGGGGGGGGCCTCTGGGCCCGGGGTGGGACCCTGGGGCATAGGCGTAGTTTGACTTCTATTGGGGGGGTGGGGGGGTGGGGCAAGGGCCGGCAGGGCAAGGGCCAGCTCTGCACAGCGGGGTCCAGGGAGGGAGCGCCACCTCCACCCCCGACTCACCTCATCAGGTCACTCACCTGTCCGGGGCTGGAGCCGGTGGCTGCTCCCCGAGGGCTCTGCCTTGAGCAGTCAAAGGAGGCTGGGAGCTGAGGCGCAGACGCAACCCCAAGCACCAGGGGCAGATGGGAGAATGCCACAGCTGCCCACTCCATGGTACCACCAGCCAGAGGGGCAGCTGCCCCGCACTGCCTGGCTCGGTCTTCCTGCCTAGGGTGGGGCCTGAGGGGGGCTGAGGGAGAGGAGGTGGGGGGGGGTGGAGCTGCCCCCAGGACTACCCCCCCCGGGGTAAGGCGGGCCATTTGGGGGGGCAACACCCTTGTGTCCCTTCAATGCTTCAGTCCCGGGGGGAGGTGCCAGGGCTCAAGGCTTCATCCCCACGCCGCTCCCCGCTTCAGTCCCGCGGGGGGCGCCGGGGCTCGGGAAACTGGGTTTCAGCGGCGGGGCTCTGCGGCCACCCTGAAAGGGCTTGGGGCCCCCCAGAGGGCTGCGGACCCCCGGTTGAGAACCACTGGACTAGCGAATGACTAGTGAAAACAGGGCCGATTTGTTGATTGGAGGGTAGTTACTTTGTGTATCCGACGTGTGATGTTCACAGTTTTTGAATCCGCTGTCAGCACGTCATTGTCTGAGCACCTCATAATTATCCCTAAGTGTGAACATTTAAACCAATAAAAATAGAGAAAAAAAAATGCTTAAAACCCAGAAGTTTGCGCAACGGTGAAAATGTAAAGCTACAAAAATTAAATAAACATTGGTAGTCTCAGTTAAAATTCAAAAAAATCTGGTAAGCCTAAATAAATACACTAGAATAAATATAATATAACAAATATACCGTAATAAATATGTTGCTGTTGGTGCGGTGAGCTGGGTAGTGGAGGAGCTAGTGTTGGGGGCTGGTGCTGAAGGGTTGGGGGCTTGTCGGGTGGGGAGGCTGGTGCTGAGGGGAGTGGTGGTGGGGGTTTGTGGGCTGGGGGCTGCAGAGTTGGGGGGCTTGCGGGGTGGGGAGGCTGGGGCTGGAGAGGGCAGTCGGGGTGGGTGCTACTGGGATGCTGCACTGGGGCTATTCAGTACACCCCATTGGGTGGCGGGGAGGGCAGAGCAGTAATGGAGGGGTCTGGCGCCCCCTTTGCTAGTAAGGGATGTCACTCTGCCCCATGGAAACCCCCCTTTTTAATGGTCAGACCTCAGAGAGCCGTGCCCCCAGCAGAGAATGCCCCGGGGACCCTGAAGGGAAAACCCAGCCATGGATCGCACCTCCAAGCACGGCTGGTGCTGACCAAGGGCTCGGTGTGTCCCCACCCTCCATCCCCTAGGACCTGGCACAGTGTGTGAACGAGATCAAGAGAGACAATGAGACCCTGAAACAGATCACCAACTTCCAGCTCTCCATAGAGAAACTGGTGAGTCCCTGGGCCAGTGCTACCTCCTTTGCCGCTTCCCTCGGTCTTTTTCTTTCTTTTTCCCTTCTTCCTTGTCTGTTTGTTCCTTCCTTCATTCCTTCGTTCACTTTTCCTCTTTCATTTGTTTATTCCTTCATTTATTTCTTCCTGCATTCATTCATTCATTCTTCCTCCACCATGTTTCACGTTTGCTCCTTTATCCGTTTGTTCCTTTATTTGTTCATTCTTCCTCTTTCATTCATTCCTTTATTCGTTCATTCTTCCTCTTTCAATCTTGCATTTGTTCGCTCCTGTATTTATTCATTCCTTTACTTGTTCGTTCATTTTTCCTGTCTCGTCCTTTTGTTCGCTCCTTTATTTGTTTGTTCCCTCAATCATTCTTCCTCTTTTTCCTTTTTTGTTCTTTAATTCATTTTCTTTTATTCATTTGTTCTTTTTGTCATTCATTCACCTGTTGTTGGTTCTTTCATTCATTGATTAGTTCGTTTTCCCTCTTTCATTCATTTTATTTGTTCTTTCATTCTTTTTCCTTCATTTTCATTGTTTTACTCTTTTCCTTTCATTTTTTTGTTCATTTCTTGTCAGTTGCGCGTTCTCTTTAATGAACTAATTATATCAAACGACCGAAATTGTTTTTTTAAATTATTTTTTCCCGGCCGACTGTATCACTTTTCTCTTCTCCCCTGGAATACGTATATACAATACAAACCGGAGTGTGTGTTATACACACTCAACAGCTTCCTGCTGGCTGGCCTTTCTTAGAGCTGCCTCTGTCTAGACCCGTTCCCTTTCCCCGCTCCTACTGGTCGCGGTGGTATTTCTAGAGCAGAAGGTCCCAGCATTATCGCTACCACCCTTTGTACAGCTCTAGGAACCTTGTGCAGCCT